AATCCAGAACACTAACTGGGAAGGGTGATTCAATGAGGAGACTATACAGAGAACACAAAGCAAACATGATAAATAGGAACCAGAAGCTAAGCCCATTGCAAAACAGTTGGCACTGAGCTTTGCCTGCTACTCCAAGACTTCTCTAGTTGTGCTATGTAGAAGAAGCTATATGGTGTATATTAGTTGACAGTTTTTACCATATTGGTGGAGTTCCCCTATTGTCTTCTTCATAGTTGTTTGTAGCTGTGTTTTTAATGTGATGTTGTGTGATGTCATGTGCATTCAGATGCAAATTGTTCTTGTGTTTCTGTTTTAGCTTTGGTCAGTCCATCATCTATACCCTGGCTGCTCTGCAGGGTATATCACTGCAGGAGCCAGTCCTGAGTACAGCACAATCAACAAAAGAGTACACTTTATTAAAGTTTGAACTGCATGTACCTTGTTAATAATATTGAATCTATTGTGATTAACTGCCCTAGTAAAATGCAATAAATTGCTTGCTTTTTACATTTGCACATTATTTTTGTAACTTCTTTTGTTGAAAATTTCTTGTAATATCTTTTACATTTCCTGGAAATTAAAAAGTCTCTGCTAATTTTCATATGGCTTGTTCTTCTGTTCTTTTCATTGTAGAATGCATCTCTTAGGACAACAGTATCAGTAAATAACTTTAAGTTACTTGCTGCATACATTCATACTAACAGTGGAATATGACAGTTATTTACATTATTAAAATAAACAGTGTAACTTCTGTTAAATTTGTGACCTATAAGTTCTGTAATACTGATATATCACAATGTATCACATTTCATGATGGAATAGTGATACATTATTAATCCCTGTGGGGATTTTTTCCCCCATCTATCCCATCTAACTCTCCAAAAGACACATATCAGGTGAGAGCAAGCTTGGGGTTGCAGCCAGGATCAGCCAGCATGCAGCACCACTGGAGCTAGGGGTTAAGGGTCTTGCTGAAGGGCCTATGGACATGTGACTATTCTGCTGGGGCCAGAGCTCAGACCTGCAACCTTCTGATCACAAACCTTTGATGTACAGCAGTTCAGTCTTACTGGGGTTTAACTTGAGGTGGTGGGATGTCATCCAAAAAACAGATATCAGTTAGGCAGCCTGAGACTCGAGTTGAGACTGATGGTCATCAGGTGGAAAGGAAAGAAAGAGTTGAGTGTCAAATGCATAACAGTGGTAGGAGAGATATGACATTCCCAAGAGAACCCGTGTATAAGGAGAAGAGAAGGGGTCTTAGGACTGAGCCCTGAGGAACACCAGTGGCCAGCCTTCATGGGGCTGATTGGGAGCCTTGCCATGCCGCCTGAAATGTCTGGTTATCAAGGTAAGATGCAAACCATTGCCAGACTGTACCTGAAATCCCAAGGCTGGAGAAAGTATCCAGGAGGATCTGGTGGTTGACCGTGTCAAAGGCTGCAGGATACGAGTACACGATAGGTATTGTGCCCTCACTTCAGAGTTTCCTGCGCTTTCTTCGGCTAAGCAGACAGATAACTCGTCCGCGCACTCCAGTGTTTGAACGGCTTTATTAAAGGCAGTCATTCGCTTAGACAGTGCGTCAGAAGCCAAGTAAAACTAAAACACAATAATAAATGCAGTAAGTATATGGAAAATACGTATATGTCACAGTGATATAATAAGCATTTTAAATAGATTAAACAAGGTACTGGAGCGTCGCAAATCAGAAAAAAAAATGGCAATTTAAATATTATTATAACCTCTCTGTAATCCGAATAAGCATAAAATGCGGTCAAATAAGATTTATATCCAATTGTACTTACAGATGCTGCACCAAAACGTAATTGCTTGCCGGATAAACTTAAATGCACCCTTTGACAGCTTTGTGTACAATATATCCATTTATCTTGCACTGAACTAACTTCACTCAAAGAGAAGTAGCTCTTTCAAACAGAAGTGGTGCTAAGGATCAACACAATTAACAGCTCCCCCTACATACCAGGAGCGAATAACATCAACACAACAGCCAGAACAACTGGGGTGTGCGATATACCTTGTCTATGATATTACTGCCATTGACTGTATTCTGTAATAGGATTCAGCAAAGGTTAATTAAATGTTTTTCTTTGTTTCTTTATTTTGAAACATGTTGCTGGCTGGCATCAAATTCAAATTGAGCATAAAAAAAAAAAATTCGCAGTTTCAGTATTTGCTGTCAAAAAGTGGAACTGCAGTGCCTCCGATTATGATGTATCCTGTGCTGTGGCAGGCCACCTAAAGCATACTCCTGGGCATTCTGGCGATGGAGGCTACCGTACCTCACATAATTAAAGGACACCATTTTAAAAGTATTTTTATCAAGTTTTTCCATTTAATAACATGACCCTGAGATGTCGAATAAATAAATGTTTTATTGGTACTCTTTTGTCAGTTTTGTAAGTGCCATTATTATTTTGTGAGTTGTGTATTATTAATATAATACAATGAATATAATATGAAAATATATATACATGCAGTATTCATATATTACAATAATAATAAAGCCATAGAGACAGTTTTTTATAAACGTCTTTTCAACGACCCGAAAAAGACGGCTTTTTTACCTTTCACTTTTCTACCAAATCTCAGGGTTTTCGAGACGTCTCACAAAGTAGTCTTTTCAACATCTTTTCGACAACTTTTTGTTGGTTGGAACAGTATATACTTGAATAGAGTGTGCATAATATTGCAGCAGGAGTGTAACAGCAGAATTTGAATACCGTACAGTATATAAAAAAAAATTGTATTATAAAATCTAACATGAATAGAATGATGTGATTATCTGTACATAACAATACTGAATATAAACTTTCTGTACATTATATAAAGTATGTAAACTATGTAATATAAATAGAAATGTGGTATGTAAGCTACCTGTATGTAATATAGTATGATATAGTGTAGTAGAGCAGCAGGTAAGGTAGCAGCAGATAACAAAAAGTACAAACATGCCAGTTAGTGAAAGTTAAAGTGACTGGTGGAGTGAAGAGTTGGTGCTGCTCACTTGTTGAGGGACTGCAGGGAGTACAGGAGTCTTACAGTTTGTGGGAGGAAAGAGGAAAGAGGACCTGATGATTTTTATCACTGTATTCACTATCCTCTGCAGGGACTTGCGGTGATAGACGTTGCAGTTCCTAAACCACTTAGTGATTCAGCTGGTCAGGACACTCTCAATGGTTCCCCTGTAGAATGTGGGGTGGATGAGGGGAGGGAGGCCTGCCTTCTTCAGCTGCTGTAAAAAAATGCAGTCGCTCTTGTGCTTTCTTGGTTAGAGAGGTGGTGTTGATGGTCCAGCTGAGATCATCCGTCAGGTGAACACCAAAAAATGTAATGCTCCTGATGGTCTCCACCTCTGAGCCCTTAATGTACAGTGGGGAGTTGACAGCATGGGTCTTCTTCAAGTCAACAATCACTTCTTTCATCGTATCCATGTTCAGAAACAGATTGTTTCCTTTGCACCAGAAGACTGGTGCAAAGGACAGTGTTGTCTGTCCTCAAGTATTTTAACTCTTGGCTCAGTCCTTTTGAGTATACCAATTCATTGTTCACAAAAAAGCAAGGAACTTTGGCGAACAAATGTCTTTATCATGCTTGATTCATGTTTTGAATGGTTAAAGAATATGGTTAAACCATGTTTTGAATGGTTCTTTTCAAAAATACTCGCATTCATACATACGTATATACCGATACATATACACCGATCAACCATAACATTAAAACCACCTACCTAATATTATGTAGGTCCCTATTGTTCCACCAAAAACAGCTCTGACCTGTTGAGTCATGGACTCCACAAAAGCTGTGAAGGTGTGCTGTGGTATCAAAACCTTAGCAGCAATAGATTGGACTGTCCGGGGTTCCCCGAGGGCTGGGTTGGGAAACACGGCTCTACTATGAACACCCATGTAAATCTTTAAACTCATTTACTATATCAATTTCAATTATAAGGCTCTTACTATCATGCAAATTAGTGATTTCGGCTTTTAGAGTTCTTTTGGAAGAAACTTTTAATGTCATCCTCAGCCTCCAATGCAATCTTCCTTTCTACATTCCTCTTAGCGAGTCTAATGTTATTTTTTAACTCAACCTGTAGACTTAGATACTCCTGCTTTATTTTGAAATTATTAGTTATTTTCCATTTGTAGAAGAGAGCCCTTTTCCTCCTGACTTTGATAGTAGACCTACAGTATTTTTGCACTTATTTAAAGACTTATTGGAATAACTGTATAGTATGCTAGGAAATTCAGCTAAGGAACAATTTAGATTATATTTTTTATTAAGATCCTTATGTCTCAGTAACTTACCTCCTTCACCCATTAGATGAATCACTGACCATATACCTCTTTTCTTCACAAATCTCCCTATACTTAAAATCACTCGATTGCTCCATATTGGAACATTATGTTGGCTATTATGGTGCTTATAAAGTAATCTCCAATATAACACCTTCTGGTGAAAATTCGAAAGCTTAACAGGTAACCTAGACCATTCAAAATCACAGATCAGTAAAAGGTCAATATCACGTAACCTGTCGAAAGTGCCGAGGAACATGAAAACCATGGTAGATTACTATTCCGTATAATAAACTGGAGCCAATTAATTTTAATTACCCCATTCATCACATCAAAATCAACCCCTTCTTTGTAATCTTTTACGAAATCCCCATTTCTTATACATGTTTTTCCAAATAAAGTTGAATTTTAATCGATTTATTTTTTTAATACACCTAGATGACATGGGCAAATAATAAGCGAAGGAAATGAGTCTACAATTTCCATTTTTGTTATCAGTGTTTTTCAAAATATAGTGATATGTCTCTATTTCAGCCCATTTATTCTTGTTTTCAATTACTAGGGCTTTCTTTCTAGTATATGATTTCTGCGCTCTTGCTCTCTTCTCTTCTCTTTTCTTCTTCTCCTAGTTCTTGTACGATTTCTATGCCCGTGAACCCTACGAGGCACACGCATGCGCAATCATAGCTGCCAGTCGAGCAAGAGCTGTTTGGCTTTTGTCTTGCTGTCGGACCTGTAGTGATCCGGGTGCATAAAACTAAGCATATAATTATTTTTAGGTAACTATTAAAGCTTTTCACATATATTTAAAGGATCAGCGTTTGAAATACACTGCAGCCACAGGATACGTTTAGACCATTTTTCTTTCTTCCTAAGGGTAAGTTAGATTTTACTTCATTTGAAAAATCATCCTGCTTTTGCAGTGGTGTTTTTTAAGTGGGTTTTGGACAACGGTCCCGTCCATGCACAAAAGTCAGCCGCTTTCTGCTAACGTGTAACGTGCTAACGACAAATCTGCATGATTCACTTTATCGAGTCAACTTATCGCGCGCATGATTAGCTGGTTTGCTTCGTTAATATGTGCTCAGGGTTTGTGCAGAACGGCGTGTGATTCTTGTCAACATGGAGGAGCCGGGTAGAGCCTAGAAATCAGTAGTGGGAACCCATCAATAGTTCGTCAAAACAGCGATCGAAAGACCAAACTGGTTAAAAAAAATCAACACGTGTCTGCACCTTAGGGCATAGCAAAAGTAGATTTTTCAAGATTTTAATGAAGTGCCTCCATTACGCTGTTTACCTTCGCACTTCGTTAAAAAAGGGGGTGGGTGATTTATTTTTATTTGTGGATAGTCCTAATTTTCTGTTTATCCATCCATTTTCTGAAATCACCTATCCTGTTAAGTGTCGCGGTGGGTCCCAGGTTGGGGTGCCAACCCATTGCAGAATTTTCTGTTCATTTAATTAAAATGTTATTTGCTTGGACAGATCATTTTATTGAATGGGTCCACAAGGTTTGCGTGGAATGTGTTCAGTGAGGATGATAGTTACTAGTATCTATGGGAACGCGTTACCGTGCAGCATGAATCACCTTGGACCAGCAATGTCGTCTGTGACACCTTCTTCACGTTTTATACATGGTTTGTGCTCATTCTTATTATTACGGGTCGGACCGATATGGGCTTTTCAGCACTGATTTTTTTTTTAATGGGGTGGGGGATAAGATAAGAAAAAAACAACTTTATTTCTCCCGAGGGAAATTCTTTTGTCATAAACATGCTCAGTGCAACAAGAGGAATAAAGATAACACGGTAAAGAGCTTACAAAGAACAGTAGTAATAGTGCAAACAGGATAACAAAATAAATCTAATAAAGTAACAGACTACTATAACAGATATAATAAAATGACAGATTATTAGTGCAATTGGTTATGAAAAGTGACAGTGTGTGCCATGAATAAAATGAGAGCAGCATGTGATGAGGGGATGAAACAATCATTCAATAACAAGGCAAGACTAGGCCGATTTTTAAAGTATTTTTAAGTAGAAAAATAACAAATGAGTAACACGATTACTTGACTTTAAATATATACTTAAAATTTATAACATAGAAAAGTGATAATAATTCTAGGTATTAATAATTTTAAACCACTGCATGCAGCATTTTAATATATAGAAAATAAAAGCAATAACAATACTTTAACTTTCTGACTAAAGTAGCAAATATTATGTTGAAAACTGAGATTTATTCAGCTTTGTGGTGATTCGTGTTATTCATCAAGGGAAACTGGTGAAGGTGGGAGGAATTTAGAACTCTTACCTTTGGTTGTCGTGCAGGCTCACTGCTGTTGGTGAGGATAAGGCACGCTACAACACTGCCAAAGTGAGTGCTCCGCGTGGCTGTTGGTCAATCACATGCAGCCACACGCACCCATCACTATTGGTCGGCCATGTGGTCTGATTAATCGGCCAATGCCGCTTGTCATAAAATGCTTAAAAATCGGACAATTTTTTTTTGTCTGCCTGTCTGATCAGTCGACATCAATAATAATAATAATAATAATAATAATAATAATATAATGATAATTTCGAACTAACACTTTTGCCAGATCATGTGCTGTATAATCTATAGCAGAGGACTCCACTTGGCCTATTCATTTGTTAATTACTTCATTACAAACCCAGTGCTTTATATACTCGCCTATTAAAATTGATCGATTTCATCAGGAGTGCAAACATTTATGGTGGTGATGTGATTTTTTTAGCCTAATATTAAAAAATAGAAAGTGAAAATATTTCATAGTACAGTTCTAGTGCAGTACAATACCTGTTCATCCATTTTCCATAACCACTTATTCTGTCTTCATGTATATAATATGTGAAATACATATGTTATACATGTGCTTATTTTTGGGGAAAACATGGCTTTTATATTTATTTGCTGGAAATTTTACAATTAGATTTTATTTTTAAGTTAAGCTTTTAGTGGGATATGGGTAAATATCTGTTAATGTTAATTATTGGGTCATTCCATTTTAATTCAACACATTTCCAAAAGTTTTTGCATCACCATTTTTAATTTTGGTGAAATTTGGCATGTTAATTATAATTTTTGCTGAGTTAAAAAATATTTTTTATAAAAGAAATTCCTTTGAGATTTAGTGCCTTTTTTATACACTGCAAGTAGGGCTGTCATGATATAATCGTGATCATATGGTGCACACAGAGTAATCATAAGAGCTTTATACGAAACATTTGACCAAACGCCAGCTTTTTGGGTCTATACAGGTGTTTACTGATGTCAGTTTGGTAAGTAGATTAGTAGTATTCCTAAACTATTACTAAAAGCCATATTGTGATGCCCAAAAGTTAGTCTGTATTAATTTGGAGTATCCTTATGTTTAATAAATGTGTTGAACTTTAAACTCTAAAAAGTACTGCTACACCAGCGACTTTTTGTTTATCCACAATGTCTCATCTTTCCAAAGATGTCGTGGCTGTTCGGCTGTCCCTTTCTTCACCGCCAGTTCAGTGCTTATAAATCGCTTCCATGATTTACCAAAACAGTAGTATTTGGTGGGTTCTGATAACTGAATTTAATAAATATAAGGATACAACAAATTTATACATATTATTAAATATTGGGCATCACAATATGCCTCTCTTAAATATTTTAGGTGTCCTACTAATCTGCTTACCAAACTGTGGCTGTTAGTAAACGTCTGCGTAGTACCGAAAAGCTGGCATCTGGATAAATGTTTATGCCCATCATATAAAGCCTTGGTGATTACTGCACTTGTGCCATATGATTGCGAGTATATTGTGACTAACTGCAGGTAACAAAAAACATGACAATTCTGAGTGTTTCATGAAATAGCATTTTTAAGAAACTTGTACACTTTTGGGGTGCATATCTCATGAAGGATGGCAAGTAAAGGGTCAATGTTTAGTTTACAAGTAGGCTTAGTACACACACACACACACACACACACACACACACATATATATATATATACACTCACCTAAAGGATTATTAGGAACACCTGTTCAATTTCTCATTAATGCAATTATCTAATCAACCAATCACATGGCAGTTGCTTCAATTCATATTTCATATTTCAATTTAAAAAGAATAGATGAAGTAAATGAGTCATGATGCAATTTCCATTCTTATCTGTGTTCTTCAAAATATAGTGATATCTGTATTTCAGACCATTTACTCTTGTTTTCAATTACTAGGGCTTCCTTTCTTGCACATGATTTCTGTGCATTTGCACTTTCCTGTCTAGTTCTTGTACGATGTCTATGTCTGTGAACCCTACGAGGCACACATGCACAGTCATAGCTGCCAGTCAAGCAAGAGCTGTATTTGGCTCTATTTAGAAGCCAAATTCTTTGTTTAGGAGCTATAATCTCCATCATATGCCAAATGTGAAATAAGTAAAAAAAAAATACTTACATGGCACATTTTGTCTCCAGTGTACCTTACACTTCTTCTTTCTCCTATTTGATCTGCTTACTATTGCCTTGTGCATTCTTATACAAAATAACATAATAATAAATGTAGTATGTAATATGCAATATATAAGCAAGACAGCTGGGCTGTTGAATGTGAAGTGCACACACATTGAAATATCAATTTATATTTGTCTGTGAAGAAATCTGGAAAACCAAGGAGTGTTGCTTGCTTTGGCTGAAAGATATTACAGCTGGAAAGGTGAATATAAAGCTAACTTTACTCTGGTGTTATACTTTCAGGTATACCTCCCTAGTATTCTCGCTTGATGATGTATGTGGGGATATGCGGATATATAATGAGATATTCCAGAAAGCAGGTCAGAGTTTAAACCTTAACAGCAACACCGCAGTTAGCTTTATATGCAGTTTTACGGCTGTAATATCTTTCACTGTTTGTTATATTTTTCAGTTTTTGCTTAAAGTCACTGGTGGTGAATGAACACTATACAATTATTAAGAAATACATATAAAAACTCATATGTAAGTTAACCAGCAAAATAAAAAATCTAGTCGCATTGGCAACCATTTTAGTTGCCATGTGAAGCCCTGCCTGCTGTGACGTCATGTGCTGTGACGTCATGTGCTGTGACGTCAGCAGGAGGAGCGTAAGAACATTAGATAACAGGGTGACGATCTGAAAGTATTGTACACTTTTAACAACACACAGCCTTTTACAATATTTTTAAAAACAAAGTTTTGAGTGGTGGAAATAGCATTTAGTGTAAAATCCCAATAAACAAAGTGCACGCATTTGTGTGAGGCAATGCAAGTAATATGAAAAAAGCAATGGATGATTTGGGGCTTGCTAGCTTGGGCTGTTCTGAAAAATTGTGGGGCATTTTAAGCATTTACTACTTGCATATATTGTCTCGGAAGATATTCAGATTGAACTGTAAATGCCTCAAAAATGCTTAAAACAAGATACAGTACAAATAAGGTAGAATAGTATGTTATGTGTGTTTCTAATAGCTTAATTAAAAAAAATTTGGGATACATTTTTTCGTTTGTATTAACTTGTATTAAAAACGTGGATCAGCCGATTCCTAGTTAATTCAGCAAAATAATCATAATGTAATATTCCATGTTTATTTCTTTAATTTTTAATTTTATATCAGCTAAGGGTTTATATTTACTGGACCTTTTTGACTTTTTGTTAAGTGCTTCCAGTGCCTGTGACTGGCAAATGAAAAATTTCCCAGTGACTTCATTACTATTCCCACTGTGTAGTGTCTTTCCAAAATACAGGAAACCAAGAGATATATTTGAGATCACGGCTTTGTTTCAACTTTGTAATCTCTAGTCTAGGTCCCTCTGCACTCTGATGAGAAGGGCAGTGTTTTAACAGGCTTTCATATTTCTATTA